GAGCTGTGATGTTGTTACCTGTTGCCAACTTTTGCGCTTTTTTGATACAGTTTTTTTAACACACTTTTTTTCACCAAAACGCTGCAATGTCTTAAACCCTTTTTTCTCTTTTGAACTTATTTTTTTGTGTTTAACATTACAAAAAAATAAAGATGAACTCCTTTGAAAACGACAACTCAGACCGTACTCCATTGACTGAGATCAATGGCCCCTCGCCTTTCTTTTCTACAGCAAAAACTTCAATTCAAAAGAGCATCTCTCGATCTTACTCATCTCGATCTGCAACAGCCCATAGCAATTGCTTTCAAAATGGTAAAGATGAACTTTATTAAAAATTGCTAAAAAACTTTTTAATTTTTAGCATTTGGTATTTGTTGGCTCACCTGTTTCCGGTGGCCAAAAACCATCTTGATAAGCAGCTTCTTCTTTATTGGAATGTTTATTCTGCTAGTTTACCTTTTCGGCAACCAAGAGAAGCATCACCTCAGTTTGGAGAAGGTAGAGAAGACGATGGAGCAGGTCGGCATAAAAATGCCAAAATTTGAAAAAACAACTTCCGTTTCGGAAAAACAAGATGACGTTTGGTCGGGAAACTTCAGCGGCTTCTACCGAGCAGTGGACGGCGGTGGCCACTACCAAAAAGTTTCCCGAGAGGATGGAAACCTCTACAATGACCTGGTTCGAGATTTGGCCTTCAGAGAGGACACTCTTCGAATTAGCAGTGAAGAGTCTAAAGATGAAGATGATAAAACTTCAATTTATTACACTGTAGTCGCCACCTCAAGCACCAGGGAGAAGGTTCACACTGAGCGGTACCGTTTTACTTCCGGTCAGCCCTTTCACTATCTGAATGAGGAAGATAATCTTCAGGCGGTGATCAACATCGCCGAGGACCAGTGGTGGCAGATGGTGGTGGGGGCAAATGTGGCCATTGGCCGNTGGTGGTGGGAGCGAATGTGGCCATTGGCCGGCGGTTTACTGACCACCAAATGACGGCGATGTGGAAGGCGGGAGAGGCACTTTATGTGAGAAATTATAAACGGGAACCGATTTAAACAAAAAATGATCAAAATTTTCAGTATTTTTGCTTTTTGACTAAAATAAATTAAATTTTCTACTTATGTGCATTTTATTACAAACAAAAAAGAAGTTCAACTAATTACATTGATGTTGATGATGATGATGGAGATGATAATGAAAACATTGATCAAAAAGTTTTTTTACTTAATTTTGAGCACCACATCAGCGGCGCCGTACTTGTCTTTGTTCTCCTCAAACAACTGCACAACGGCGTCAATGTACGTCTGGTGAAGGGCGTCAATTTGCTCCTGCGTCGGATTGGGCGTCGCCTCGGTGTCGATTGGTTTGCCCACTAATTTAAAAAAAATTATAAAGTTACAGTTTGAGATTTAAAAGTAAAATTAAACCACGTACCAACAGTGGTGATCGGCTTTCGGAAGGGCACAATGCCAAAGGAGTACTGAAACAGTCCTCGACCTAAGAAAAATAAAATAATTAAAACTTGAAATAAAGGTTGGCCAAAAAAGAAGGTATTACCATAAAACGCCGGAATCGGAAAGCCGATCGCCTTGATGATCTTCTCCTGAATTCGATTGTACAGCGACTCCTCCTCGTGCATTGTCGTAAAGAGGTCGTTTTCACCAAAAGAAATGACCGGAACTAGGCTGGCACTAAAATAAAAATAAACAAAAATTAAACAAAAAATTTTTTATTATTAAAAAAGAATCCTTACCCGTGCTTCAGCGCCAGTCGTACAAAGCCCTTTCGTTTTTTCAGCGTCAAGTTCATCTTATTGGGAATGGTGTCCAGCACCTCAAGGGCGCCGCCCACTACAATGGCTGCTGCGTTTCCTTTACCCTTTTTGCTGTTTAGAAAAAAATGTGAGAAAATTGTTAGAAAAAACTCTTAAAATGAGCTCAAT